AAACCCGCAGTTTTTAACACTTTTGACTTCGAAATGTGCTTCGCGCCACAACGGCGTGCACTTTTTCGACACTTTTTCGACATCTGAACCTCCAAAAGTGGTCCGAGACCGTCAGTTTTTAACACTTTTGACTTGGAAATGTGCTTCGTGCCACAACGACGTGCACTTTTTCGACGTCTCAACTTCCAAAAGTGGTCCGAACCTGGTGTGTTTTGTACATTTTCACTTCGAAATGTGCTTCGCGCCACAACGGCGTGCACTTTTTCGACATCGCAACTTCCAAAAGTGGTCCGAACCTGAGGTGTTTTGTACATTTTGACTTGGAAACGTGCTTCGCGCCACAACGGCGTGCACTTTTCGACATCTCAACTTCCAAAAGTGGTCCGGAGCTGAGGTGTTTTGTACATTTTGACTTGGAAATGTGCTTCGCGCCACAACGGCGTGCAACTTTTCATCTCTCATCTGGCCAGCTGGCTCCGCACCTGCCGCTTTAGCGAGCCTACTTTTCGACCCTCCGGAGCCACAAATCATTGGAAAAACACAGTGTTTCGCGACTTTCCTACCTTTTCACGCATCTTCATCTTCTTTCTTCTGATCTTTTCTCTTCTGACTCTTCTCACCTCTGCTTTTCAACTGTCCATATTGTCGGAAGTTTCACTTCTAAACTTCCTTCGATAATTATATATATATATATATGTACACAACATTGTGGATCCAGGCCTTGAGCCATCGCCCCATAGGAGACAAAACAAAGAGAGCGCACATAGCTTCAGCTGCAGCAACAAGTTTGGACTTTACACGGGATCCTGGAAAAAATCCAGGGGAGCTGCAACAACAAACAAGCGCCAGCAACACACTAGCATCAACTACAGGCAACCACCAGCATCAAACACAAGGCGGCAATCCCAACACGGGCGAAACTGAAAACTGACAGCAGCAGGCAGAGGCTTGATCCCAAGGGGACCTCAGCAAAAACCAACAACAAAAGCCACGACATGTCCAGAGGAGCGCCTCAAACAATCAACACAGCCAATCCACAGGATCCAGCAGCACACTGGCATTCAGCACGCAGGCTCAAACTCAAACCACAAACGCACGACGGCAACTCTTCAACATGTGAAGAATGGAAATGCAGCTTCGCAGCCTACATGGGTCTGATGGACACAGCATACCCACGACTTCTACTACAAGCAGAAACATCAGACGAAAGACTACGAGACACAGATCTCCGCAACGCAGGAGCAAAGAGGATGAAGCAGACAGATGGGTACAACTTCCAGTCAACCTCAAGTACATTCTCACCAACACCCCCGCAGGAGCAGCAGCCACAACATGCAGACAACACCAATCAGATATGGGCCTCGAAGTCTATAGACAGCAAGGTGACAGGTTCTCAATTCCATTGGGAACACGTAGCATCGGCTACCTCACACGGCTTCTCAAGCCCATATTCGACAACAGCGGCTTTGAAGAGTCATTCTCCAACTGGGAGTTTGAACTCTCATGCTACGAGCGTGGCAACAACGCGCACCTACCAGACGCAGTCAAGATCGCAATCTTGATGAACGAAACGACAGGAGCACTACACCAACACTTGCAGCTCAAAGCAGGCACCCCACCTTTTCGGGGATCAGAGCAATCATACTGGAATATTGCAGGACAATAACAGCATTCACAAGGATGCAGGCCCAGTCCTCAGGTGTAGCGACACACTTTAGTGGAGGACAAAAACCCATGGACATCAGCGTTGTAAAGGGCAAAGGAAAACACAACGGAAGCGAAGGAAAGGGAAAGTACAACAAAGGTAAAGGCAAGGGCAACAATGGCAAAGGCTACGCCTACAACAACGGCTACAACATCGGCAAAGGCAAAGGCAAGCCCCAACACCCCATCGGATACCACCAGCCCTTCAAAGGAACGGGAAAGACCTACCATTCCAACAACAAGGAACGGGGAAGCAAAGGGCAAAAGCAAGCACCCAACACAAGGGCAAAAGCAAGCAGCCAACCAGGTCACATGGCAAAGGACTGCCGGGGCCCAGTGTACAACATCACTGGAGGCGACAATGAACAGGCATTACAAGGAGATGCAGTAGACCAGTGGTATGCCCAACAGCAAAGCTACGATGGTTACTGGTGGAACAATGACCAGACTTATGCGCACGGCAGTCAACAACAGCCTGTACAACCAGTGCGACAACTTGCTCTTCCACCAGCAGCACCTTCGGAGCACACACCTAGCATCCAGATTGTCTCAACAGCATGGCAGAAGATGAGCAAGCAACAGTCAGTACCTGGGATACAAGCAACAGGTCAGCAGAACAGGTCAGCAGAACAGGTGGACTTGATGATTGACAGTGGAGCAGCAACACACGTTTGCCCGACATGGTTTGCAGACAACTATCCACTGTTTGGCCAACAGCCTCAGTTGAGGACAGCAGCCAATGACGCGATCAAAGTTCACGGCTACAAATGGGCCTACATAAGAACAGCAACGGACATCCAATCGTAGTCCCATTTTACGTTTGCGATGTCACGCAACCCGTCCTGTCAGTGACAAGCCTGGCAGAACAAGGCTTCAACGTACAACTCAACGAACAACCAGCAATTACGCACAAGACAAGGATTTCCACACTACACTACAGCAACAGGAAGGCTTGTACTTTCTCACAGCTAACACTTTGCCACTCACAGACAGCCTCTGGTTGACAGTCAAGCCCACACCACAGGGCAACATCAACGATCGCACCGGTCACTTTCACTGCAACAGGACTTGACTACTGGACAATCAACAGCAAAGGCTTTCTGGTACGTGTTCACAAAAGACAACGTAAAACTCTGTTCGTGCCAGATGCACAATGTCCAGTCCCAACAGCACAGTTGGAAACTACAGGAGGACCATTGTGAGAAGGATTGACTCAACAACAGAAGACCTCGAAGACACCTACATGGACCTTGGCCCACAACAACAGAAACGGAACACGGCAGGAAAACCATGGACAGGAAACACGGTTCAAAATGAAGCAAGGCACAATGGTGCCGGGCACGGCACCGCCACCGCTGGCGCCCACACCAACTCCAGCCAGCACACCGGCAACCCAACACCCGTCACGGCGGCCCAGACAGCATCCGCATGAAGGGAAGGGAAGGGAAGGGAAGGGAGGAGGGAGGGAGGGAGAAGAAGAGACAAAGGCTGCCTGATGTGAAACTACCATGTGCGTCCCATTAAACTATGCTAGATTTTGTGAGGGCCTTCCTCGCGAAAGTAAGAGGCATCAAACAAAAACTGGGAACAAAAAATGTTTGGCCCAAACAAAGTTCAGTATGCATATGATTGAAAAAACAGACGTGGGGGCAAAAAAGGAACCATGATGTAAAAAGTAGAGGAGGACATGCCGAAAAAAAGGATTGAACATATGAAAACCAACGCACAAAAATGAACAAAACAAAAAACACCAAATATAACTACATTGGGAACAGCGCTGAAGATAGATGCAAATTCATTTTGTTTTCGCCGCGTTTCAGCGGGCCAATCCAGCCCATCCCGCACCACAAAATCTTCACACCGCGAACTTTGTCCACCCCATCATCATTTTTGTACAGGCAATCCCGACCGCTGCGTTTGAACGATGACCCGCAATAACGACAACAACATTGACAACAGAAACAACATCAAACAACAAAAAACCACCACCAAAACAACCAGAAGAACAAAAACAAAAACAAAAACAAAAACAAAAACAGCACCAGCAACAACAACAACAACAACAACCACAACAACCACAACCACAACCACAACCACAACCACAACCACAACCACAACCACAACCACAACAACAACAACAACAACAACAACAACCACAACCACAACCACAACCACAACCACAACCACAACCACAACCACAACCACAACCACAACCACAACCCACCACCACCACCACCACCACCAACAACAACAACAACCACAACAACCACAACAACCACAACAACCACAACAACAACAGCAACAACAACAACATCAACAACAAGAACAACAAAAACAACAACAACAGCAATAACAACAACAACAACGAGACGTGATCCGGAGAGAGGTCTGCAGAGTTGGTGTCGACCAGCGAAACCCGAAACCCGAAACCGACTGTTAAAGTTGGTTTCGAACTGCGAAACCCGAAACCCGAAACCCGAAACCGACTCTGAAGACTTAACTTCCCCAGGACCGATCGAAACCCGAAACCCGAAACCCGAAACCCGAAACCGACTCTGAAGACTTACCTTCCCCAGGACCGATCGAAACCCGAAACCCGAAACCCGAAACCCGAAACCGACTCTGAAGACTTACCTTCCCCAGGACCGATCGAAACCCGAAACCCGAAACCCGAAACCGACTCTGAAGACTTAACTTCCCAAGGGCCGATCGAAACCCGAAACCCGAAACCCGAAACCCGAAACCCGAAACCGACTCTGAAGACCAGGACCGATCGAAACCCGAAACCCGAAACCAGAAACCCGAAACCGACTCTGAAGACTTAACTTCCCCAGGGCCGATCGAAACCCGAAACCCGAAACCCGAAACCGACAGCGAAAGTGGGTTTCAATCGACGAAACCCGAAACCCGAAACCCGAAGCCCGAAACCGTTGCAAGCGACGAAACCCGAAACCCGAAACCCGAAACCCGAAACCGACAGCGAAAGTTGGTTTCAATCGACGAAACCCGAAACCCGAAACCCGAAACCCGAAACCGACTCGAATCCGACTTTTGGGTGGCTCTCCGGATCGGAACTCACAACAACAACAACAACAACAACCACAACAACAACAACAACCACAACAACAACAACAACAACCACAACCATCACAACCATCACAACCATCACAACCAAACCACAACCACAACCACAACCACAACAACAACAACAACAATCAAAATCAAAATCACAATCACAACCAAACCACAACCACAACCACAACCACAACCACAACCACAACCACAACCACAACCACAACCACAACCACAACCACAACCACCAGAAAAAACACCAATAACGAAAACAATTACGATAAACAAAACGGATAAAAACAAAAACGCCGGGAAAAACAGTGAAATTGTGGGGTGCAGGCTGGGGTCGCTTGATGGAAAAAAAAAAATGGCGCAAAACTTAAAACCTGGGGCGTGTCATTGTTTCCATTTGTTTCTGCTGTGTTGTAGACATTGTCGATTTTGATTTGCAGGATGGTCTGACTGGAAGTGCTTGGGGAGATTGGGCCAACTACACAGCCTCCCCTCTGCGCTAAACTGTGCTGGGCTGAACTGTGCATGACTTGCAGGACTGATGTTTGCAATGAATTTTGAGGTTTGCTTTGGAGTTTCGCAACTGCAGCACCTTGAATGGGTTCGTTGTTTGTGATTTGTTGTGGGGCAGAACTTGGACATGTCCTTTGATTTTATGATAACTCATACCCAGCTTCGTGTTCGAACACTCGGACCGTTGAACAGTCAGATCGTTTACAGTCAGATCGTTTAGAATAATGCTACATATGATGGAATATTTGTTATGTTCCTTGCAAGGAGAGTGAGTTCCACGTGTTGCAGATTGCAGTGGAGCGGAAACGGTGAAAACAATGCGTACGAGGACCGTGTAAGAAAATTCTATGATCAGCTGATCATGGAACGACTAACTACAAATTATTGAGCTGGGAATTGACACGGAAGTCTTCAATGTTTTTGGGTTCAAACAAGACTGACTTTAAATTGACTGTACATGTCAAACCAATGTATCATAATCCCAAGAATTGTCTGTGTGATTTGCATTCTGTTCGGCTGTTGATCGCACATGAAAACAGAAGTCAGGTTGATTTTGTCCTCAAGAAGACACGGCTTATTCGCATGTTCCAGCTTAGTAGGGGTTATGTGGCCAAGAACAAGAACCATTTTTTCAAATGTTCCTCACCCCCAACGCAACGAGGTGACGATGCACGTGACGGCCCACGGATAGCAATTCGTCCCAGTTGATTGGTTTTGCAAGAGTACAATCCTGGTCAAACCAGGTGCATTTTCAGCTCTGTGCCCTGAACGGTGAAACTGCTGAGATCAACTCAGCCGAGGCCGCAAAGGCCAACGTCCCCAGCATCCATGATGAAGAGGCTTGGAGAGCGATGATGCGATCCCTTTTTACTCCCATCATATTCATTTCGGCTAGTAAGTAAGTGGTTCATAACATATGTATACAGTATATATATATATATATCGGTATATACAAACATTTGTAATCATTTGTATACATTACTTGGATATATCATATCCCATATATGTGATATCACAATATCCGTAAATATATATATATATATATGATATTCATATATTACCCCACATAGAATCCCACATGTAAATGGCTTCTAATCTGGTTCGAGCACCCGCAGCGAGACTGGGTGCCAGGAGGTCATGAATCGACTCTTGGGGCATGGCTACAACCTTGCCTGAAAACTGCGCACGGCAGATGGGCCGCAGCAAAACGTGGCTTCTCCAGGGTACCAGGGTCTTGACTACAGATTTACTTCCGTTGCTAGTGACGATGGATTGGTGAAGGGTGAAAGTGGGTGAACTTCGAAAGATCTAGATTGGCTTTGGCCGTGAAATGTAGGGCGTTCAAAGATTCCTGGCGGTGCTGTACTTGGCTCAAGTGAGAGAAACAGGGAGGGCCTGCCATCGCTTGCATCGGCAATGCGGTGTCTCAGAAGCCCTAAATGCCTGAAACTAAGCGACCGTATGAACCTGGGAGCAAAGACACGAGATTCGGCAAACTTGCAGGCGCCAGTGGGATAGCATCGGAAGCAACAAGCAAACTGTGGCAACCTGGTTTCCAGCCTGGAATTTGCACAGTTTCAGACCATGTGAACTCAGGCTTCGTTTGAATGCACAGGCGCGTTTCAGCAGGGAGGGCCTCCAAGCCGGAAACCTGATTTTGCAACGCCCCTCACAGATCCTCACAGCTCTATGGACCCAATGGTTGGTTGAAAGATGTTGGTAGCCATGCTGCTAGCCTGGCAGGCGTCCAAGGCCCTTCCGCCGATCTCTCAACTTGAGGTGCAAAGCTGACTGCGTAGGGACGTCATGGATGGTTCCATGTTAGCTGTAGACGTTATTTTGGATGTGCCTCCACATTGCGAAACTCATGCGAAAGCAGCAGATGGCCACATTCATATGTTGGCGAAACTGCACGCCTTGGGAATTTGCTCAGGTTTTTTCCGACGGCGAAGGCAAGTGGCATGGCCTTTTGTGTGGATCTTGGAAGCTCATGACCCTGAACACTCAATTGTATGTACATATAGGGTAGCATGGTGCGATAAGAAATCCAGTATTCAATACCGGTAGTACCGCACAAGGCTTTGGCGGAAGTTTCAAAAATAGGAAACCTATAGGAGAGCTTGGTTGCTGTGAATCACGGATGGCAAAGCGAATCCACTGATGGACTTAAAGGTCATTGGAGTTGTGTTTTTTGGAGTGGTTACAATGGTTGCAGTGATCACCTGGTCGGTCACCTCACCCACAACTGCTGGATGTCGTGTGGTGTAGGGCAGCTGTAGTGGTGTAGCGTAATTAATGTAGCGCAGTTGCAGTTGCAGTTGTGGTGGTGTAATGAGTGTAGTGTAATGTAATGTGTGGTAGTTTAGTGTAGTGTAGTTTAGTGTAGTGTAGTGTAAAGTAGCGTAGTTGTAGTTGTAGCTGTAGTTGTAGTTAGTGTAATGTAGTGTAGTGTAGTGTGGTGTCGTGTACTGTGTTTTACTGTGGTGTAGTGTAGTGTGGTGTGGTGTACTGTGGTGTGGTGTAGTGTAGCGTAGTTTAGTGTAATTAGGTGTAGTGCAGTGTAGTGTAATGCGATGTAGTTGTAGTATGTTGTAGTTGTAGTTGTAGTTGTAGTTGTAGTTGTAGTTGTAGTTGTAGTTGTAGTTGTAGTGTAGTGGAGTGTAGTGTATGTAGCGTAGTGGTAGTTGTAGTGTAGTGGAGCTACAAAACCCGCACGTTTTGCTCACTTCTGGCAAGGTGCACAATCCCTTGCGCCTGCCATGCGAAACGACATCTGAACGTCCAAAAGTAGCCGGAGACCGTTGGTTTTTAACACTCTTGACTTCGAAATGTGCTTCGCGCCACAACGGTGTGCACTTTTTCGACATCTGAACTTCCAAAAGTGCTCCGAGACCGTCACTTTTCAACACTTTTGACTTCGAAACGTGCTTCGTGCCACAATGGCGTGCACTTTTCAACATCTGAACTTCCAAAAGTGCTCTGAGAGCGTCATTTTTTAACACTTTTGACTTCGAAATGTGCTTCACGCCACAACGGTGTGCACCTTTTCGACATCTGAACTTCCAAAAGTGCTCCGAGACCGTCAGTTTTTAACATTTTTGGCTTCGAAATGTGCTTCGCGCCACAACAGTGTGCGCTTTTTCGACCTCTCAACTTCCAAAACTGCTCCGAACCTGCTGTGTTTTGTACATTTTGACTTGAACATGTGCTTCGCGCCACAACGGCGTGCACTTTTTCGACATCTCACATTCCAAAAGTGGTCCGGCCCCGGTGTGTTTTGTACAGTTTGACTTGGAAATATGCTTCGTGCCACAACGGCGTGACATCTTAACTCCCAAAAGTGCTCCGCACATGAAGTCTGTATAGCTTTTCACTTGCAAACGTGCTTTGCGCAACAACAGCGTGCAACTTTTCATCTCTCATGTGGCCAGATGGCCCCGCACCTGCCGCTTTAGCGAACCTACTTTTCGACCCTCCGAAGCCACAAAGAATTGAAAAAAACGCAGTGTTTCGCGACTTTGTTACCTTTTCGCGCACCTGTATCTTCTTTTCTTCTCACTCTTTCTCTTCTCTCTTCTGTTTCTTCTCCTCGTCTGACTCTTCCCACCTCTGCTTTTCCATCTGTCCATATTGTCGGAAGTTTGACTTCTAAACTTCCTTCGAATATGAGTTTCAGCAGCTGCAGGGAAACCCGTGCTGTTCTGTGGAAAACGTTCTAGGTTGAATCTTGACAGCCACAAACGGTGCACAGACATTAGTACAGCCGGAGGCAACGTCGTACAAACATGGTGATGACTGGGGGATGGTTTATGGCATTGTTTTACCCACATTACATGTATAGTATTGGAAACCCAATTATAAAGCTACAAGATCTGGGGGTGGTGCACGGCAACAGGATGGACCGTCACGGAGCGGCGCCGCTCCAACCGCAAAGCGGCCACGCGGCGGACAGGTGCCACGCTTTCGTTGCTCGCATCTGACGCGCGCCCGGTTCCACTTTTCACTTATATATTTTTCATGAAATTAGCACGAACTATTATCATATGTATACAAGCGATATATTATATCATATATATATATATATCATATGTAAATATCTAAATCTATATCTATATCTATATATATATTATATGTATATCTGTATATCTATATATTTAAATACCAGATATCATATGTATATATATATGTATATCAATCACTTGATGTATATATGAGAAATATAGTGATAATATATATATATATATACCTATGACACACACATATATATATATATCATATATATATATGATATGTATTTCATAATATTATATATATAAATATATGTATGAGATAGATAGAGATATATATATATCAAATGATAGATATAAAAACTTTGATGAGAGAGATATATAATATGATAGATTCTATTTTTTGATGATGATATATCGTATCTATATATATATATATATGTATATCATATTTATATTTAAATAACCATATATATATATATATCTATCTATCAGATGTATATATCAGATGTATATATCAACATATATATATATGATATATATATATATATCATATCATATCATATCATACATATATGTAAATATATATATGATATATATATGATATATATATGATATATATATGATATATATGTATATGATATATATATATATGATATATATATATGATATATACCATTGATATATATATATACCATTGATATATATACATATATATCAATGATATATATATAGATATACATATGTATCATATATACATATGCTATATATATATCATATATATATATCATAAATATATATATCATATATATATATATATCATATATATATATGTCATATATATATATATGTCATATATATATATTTGTATAATGTAACATTATATTGAATTGTAATTAGGTATACGTGTATATCTTTCCCTTGTAAAAATGCATACATTTTTTTGGTGTCATGACCAAAGCTTGTGGCCGATGCCCTTGGGGGTGAATAAGATGAGCCAGGTTCGCCTGGAGCAAAGCCGGAACCAGCCTTGCATTGGGCAACTTGGCTGGTGTGAATGATGAGAAAAATGATCCAAAACAAAGGTAGATACGGTAGACGTCAATTGAACTCGGTCTTTTTCAAGCATCAACAGCCGTATTCGGTATTTTCGAAGTCTTGTTTTTTCATGTCGAAGCACACCTTTTAGCTGTTCCTTTTGTGGGTCACTTTCGCCAGGAAAATGGCAATGCTCCATTGGAGGTGCAGCCCTTTGCCAAGACCTTGCTGCAACCAACCCCGAGACTTGGCGGAAAGCAGCCTTCTGGGGGGCGTGGTGGTATGTACTATTTATACTAATTATATCTAATGATATCTAATTATACTAATTCTAGTTGTATCTACTATTATCTACTTATAGTGATATTAGATTTAGTTTTCCAGGGATTTACATTCATGACCAGGGACATGAAGATCTGTTTCATCCATACATTGAGTCATGTATCCTTCTTGATCAACATCATGCCACGCAGCAGCACGTCACAGGTTGATGCAGATGCCAACGAACATGGCAGACGTGGTGAAGATGGCAGCCGCCAAGGCGGCTGTTTTTTCTTTTTCAAAGGTAGTCTATGAAGACATGGTTTATGTGTATCTCTGTGTATACATAAACAGATATATATATATATATACATAATCATGAAATTGAAGATAAATATGAAGACAACATAATACACACACACATATATATATATGAATGCAACTGTAAATATCGATATAGATATAAATATGAATACAACTGTAAATATAGATACAAATATGAATATGAATACAATTACAAATGTAGATTTCAATATATATAAAAATGAATATGCATAAAACTATAAATATTCATATAGATTTCAATTTAAATAGGAACGCAACTATGATTCTAATTATGAATATGAATACAGCTATAAATGCAAATGCAAATTGAAGTCAGTCCCAGCAACATGGAGTGTTGTTGGACGTGGATTTCTATCCATCCTTCCTCGAAGCCGTTTTAGCTCAGAGCACGGCTGGTGGTCCTGAGGGACAGAAGAGGTGCCCTGCGGGCCTGAAGGGCCTTAGGGCCATAGATCCACAAATTCGAAAGCCCATGCCAAGCGAGACTGGGAGCCTGGTGAGTTCTTCGAGGCTCATGTTTACGACGCCGGCAAGGCAGCCAGCCGCCAGGTCCTTCCGATACTCTTCAAAGTCTGCTTTGGCCACCCCTGTTATCCACCAGACAGTGCGACGATTCAGGATATCGCTTTCAGGACTTCGCCTCGCCAGCACAGATATGGACAAAGAACTCTCTGCGCTGAGCCTTGCCAGGACCTTCATCTAGCCACCGCTTCAAGTGAAGGTGTTCCACTGCGATCAGCGTAGCCGTCATCCATAGACCATGGCACACTCCCTGCAGTGATGACACGCCACAGCGCTTTTGACCGGGGAAGCCTGGTGCACATGGTGATGCAGAGATTTTCAGCCTCGAGGGCGACGGTGTCAGCCCTGAAGATGGTCAACATCGAGCGGCCACAGGCGTTGAGATGGCTGTGGGAGAAGATTTGCGCAGGTTGAAAGGAGATGTGAAGAAAGACAAGCAGAAGAACAAGAGGCCAGCACTTAGGGACTCGCCGAGGCGAAGGGACAAAGGAGCTGAGAAGTCACCTGTCAAAAAGGCTAGAAAGTCCAGATCGAGGTCTAAGAAGGATCGGAAGAAAGAGAGGCCTGCGGGCTCGAAGGAAAAGGGTTGGTTTGGAAAGAAGGCTCAGCATGGGAGGTCTTCTGGATCCAGGAGCAGAAGGTCAGGCAAGAGACGTGCCCGAAGCAACTCAAGGGAGGCACCAGCCAGCCAAGGCCAAGCGCAGAAAGAAGGGCAAGGAGCTGGACAGAGGCCCCTGGGATTGGCAAGGCAATGGAATTTGAGAAGGAGAAGGAGGAGGACACAGACTCCGAGACCGATGATTGGTTTTCAGAGAGGGGCCCCGGACAGGAGGAGCCACCAGCTGAGACAGCAGGCTCCTCACCAAGATGAGGAGGGATGCCCGGTCCCCCTTCAACCTTGCCTCAAGCCCAGACCTGACGCTAGCGACACCTGCTGACAGTGATGATCCCAAGCTATTACGAGAAACTGGGGATTCGGCTGCTGCGAGAGCTGCGGACAGTTGCAGCGGCCTTGGGCAACATTGCCTGCGGGCAAGGCGAAGCCGCAGCAGACATTTTCGGGCAGGGGGATGAAAGCCCTGGAGCTTCAAATGAGCGACAATGGCTGGCAAAGGGCACAACACCTGGAATTCATAGCGCCAGAAGGAGCCGAGCTAGCAGAGCGAGACGAACAAAGGATGGCAGCCCAGGAGCAAGCGCTGGAGGCCAAGATGATGCAGCAGGTGAACCACCCAAAGCCCCAGTGGAACAACAACGAGGGTAAAGGAAAGGGCGAAGGTCAGAACGAAGGCAAAGGGAAGAAAGGAGGAAAATGCGGAAAGTGGCAACAACCGGAGCAGGAGAACAAGGGGACGGTGCCCGCCGCTTAGAGGAACCCACGCAGTTTGGGTCAGAGGTGGTCGAAGTCATCCGGGATGCAGACTCGGGAGATAACCTTATGGCGGGCGCGCGGGGCAGGATCGTTGGCGTAGAGGACAGCCCAATGTTTTTAACTGACTGGCAAAGGAGGTTGGCTGCTGATTGGAAGAAGGAGAGGAAGACCTTCACCGACCTTGGTGCACATCTGCTGGACGGTCTGAGGTTCCTCTTGGTGACTTTGTCCGTCGCTTCAGTCATCACATGCAGCCGTCCCCGACCGCCGAGGCCAGTTATGACAGAAAGGGGGGACCTCCTGCCCATTCACCCCTCATGTGTGGAGGCAGGGGGGAATATGGAGTGTCGGAGCAGAATTAGGCTGGGTCAGGTTGATATTCACCTTCATCAACTTCAACTATTGCACTGGCTGAACTAAGCCAATCTGCGTTCCCATGGATGTGCGCATCTCGCCAAATCAATGCAGGGCACTTGAAGAGGTGGCAAAGACGGTCGATGACAATGTTTTGAGTGCGGGCCTGTTGCCATCCCTGGGTGAAGCCAAAGTAAAAAGTTTGACTACTCGAGGAACCCAGTCGAGTACATGCAGGACTTGATTGCGGACAAGGTCTTCCCGACTTGGCCGAGGCCTGGAGAGGCTGCAATCCGGTGCAAAACGGACTTTCTGGATGATGAGGTGAAGGAAGCTATGGCCGACCCCGCTCACCTAGTGGTCAATGGTGCCGGTGGGGTTACAAAGATCAAGGAGATCAACGGCCAGCAGGTTCAATTGCAGAGGTTTTTCTCCGTGCTGATCCCCATGAATGAGATGATGATGGAGTTGCCTGGCGCCCAGGATACCCTGCCTTATGTGGGGCAGTTGACATCACTGTACCTGTTGTACCTGGGTTCCGAAGACCTGCAGAGCGCTTTCAACTTCCTCAGGGTGCCCAGAGCATGGAGCCCATGCTTTGCTAGATGGCTGGGCTTTCAATCGCCCTGAGCTGGGAAAGGTGCGGCCAGCCCTATGTGTAGTGCCAATGGGATGGAAATCACCTGTCACCTTGGTGCAATACGCGGTGACGCTCATTGTGCTTGACCTGGCGCAGGTGCCTCGATCCACCTCCCTCGAAAAGGCTTGGCCATATACCACCTGGTGACAGGCTGACAGTGGTGTACCTGGACAACTTTGACCAGGTGCGTATCATGAAGACTGTCTGCGAAGAGCTTGATGGGCCCCATGAGAGGTTTGTGATGAGTTGGCGCTGCCACGAAACGCTAGAAAGCAGCTGGTGGGTGCCATGTGCGGTGGCATTCAAGGTGGTGAGTTCAACGGGCAGGCTGGTACCATCAAGGTGGGGAAGGGCAAGCTTTTCAACTTCCTTGCAATCAGCATGGCCCTGCTCACCAACCCACTTGTGACGGAGTTCCAGATGAGACACTGGATTGGCAAGGCAGCATTCATTGCCACCTTCAGGCGGCCACTATGTGCAATTCTCCAGGAGATTTTTGGTTTGCTGGAGAGGCGCAAGACACGAGGACAAGCCCTGAGCCTTGTGGTGATGGATGAGGTCCTTTACGGGGCTCTCAACGCAATCACAACGTGAACTCGGAGCAGAACTATCACGGGTCATCTCTTGCACAGATGCGTCTCCAACAGGAGGGGGAGCTGCAATCGCAACGAAGTTCAAAAACAAGAGCCTGGTGGTTCCAGAGGAGATCCCTGCGAGGGAAGAGTGCGGGTGCTGCGGCACAGGCTTTGTGGGGATGGACCCACAAAGGAGGGTCTGCCAGTGCCCAAGGAAGTGTGGGGAACGCTTCTGCTCGGCCTTGAGTGTCGCGGAGCATTCTGAGAGGACTTGCATCCGACCTAATTTCTTTGCCCCGAAATTTGGGGAACGTTTCAGTGGCCCTCGGTACCCCCTCACAAAGGCTTGTGGGCTTGCAGGGATCGCGATCCAGAAGCCGCTTGACAAATTGGTGCCGGGGGACCCTTGCGATATCCCCAGTGAAAAGGGGAAAGCACGGCTGGCTGAGGCCGAAGCCGACCCTGCTCTCAAGGCCGAGCACTGGGCACCAGAGTGCCGAACGTTTTCTAGAGTGGCAGCTTGTCTCAAGCGGGATGTTATTGGTGGCCTCAAAAGGTTCATCCCAAAACTAAATTTCCGCCTGCCAACGTCCCAACAATATTACAACAATTGGCTCAGGGATCATGTTCCCATGCGGGCAGTGCCTATGCCGTGGTTGGTGGCAAAAGCATTGGCCAGTTTTGCATGGAAGTTAGGGCACTATGACTTGGCTGCTGTCATTCTCACTGGGTTTTGCATCTTTCTGCGGTCCATGGAGTTTTTGACCCTTCCTGCACAAAATGTGGTGGTAGACCCGCACACCTCACAAATCGTTGTTACTTTGGAGAAAACAAAGACCTCCAAGCAATTCCAGCAATCTTTAGCGCTGCGGCACAGGGGCCTGGCCAGACTTTTGACCCAGGCTCTACCTCGCTTTCTAGAGCGGGGACCTATCGACTTCTTCGGCACTTTGCCTTGGACAATTTGGGTTTTTCTTTATACAGCATCAGGTGTGGAGGCGCCACGCATTTTTACGCTGCCACCAGAGATCACTACGTAACCCTTCAGGGGAGATAGAAGGACGCGCGCACAGCGCGCATTTGCTTACATGATGCCCGGGCCACACTCATCAAACTTGCTCTTCCCCCACCCATTACCCACCACTTGCATCAAGCAGCAGCTGTCTTCTCTTCTTTCAAGTAGCTCCGCCAGTGGCATCATTTGGGTGCGATTGGGATTGGGCTTTGGGTGCCGCTGTGGCGGAGTCTTTGGTTGCCTGAGGGCAAGACCTTTTGCCTGTGGGCAAGACTCTTTTGGGCTACGAAGTTAGCCTTAGTGTTGCCAGAACCTAAAATGGTGATGGCACCAACCTTGATTCCCTGCGTGGCTGCATGTGTTCAAAACATGTGGCCGCAGAGTCGCTTTAGAATGGATTGAATGAAGTCAGTCCCAGCAACATGGAGCGTTGTTGAACGTTGATTTTTATCCATCCTTTCTTGAAACCATTTCAGCTCCCTTCCCAGTCCCCCCCCGACCTTCAAAAATGGCGATGGCACCCAATCTTGATTCCCTGCACGGCTGCATGCGTCCAAAGCATGTGGCCGCGGAGTCGCTTTAGAATGGATCGAAATAAACTTAAATATAAATACAAGTATTTAGCGCCTGAGATGACAGTTTGAGGACAGCATGTTGCTTCACCCTGGAATCTTGTTCTCTCCATGGTCACCTGATCCCAATTCCTCAAGCGCTTTTCACAGGCAAAGGCCAACGGTGGTAAGCTGGTGCAGGACTGGTCACAGATCGAAAACACCGATGGGTGCTATACCATTCCTTTTTCCAGAGCCCCCAGGTAATTCCATGGATATTGAAAATTATTTTAAAATTATTTGGAACCTTATTTGGATATCCATCTAGATACATCTATAGCTATGGATTGTCTATGGAAATTCCACTGGCAATGAGGACACCCTCGAAGACGATGGTCCAGGTGCGGAGATGACATCGGCTTTCGATTTTCCATCCCCATTGGTAGATGATCATAGGGATTATGATAGTGTATTAATAGCTATAAATAGTATCAGCAATGGTGGATGATTGGACCTTATTCTACTGCTAGATTATTATACAATCAAACATTATGACCCATACCAATAAAAAGGGCCTTCTACAAATGACTGGGTGTGCTGGGTTATTTTTCACCAGATGAGTTGTTTTGGTGAAGACAGGCGGATTTTTTTGCAAAAACAGACGTGTTGATGGGCTGAGTTTTCTACACTCCTGGCTGGCGGGAGTTTGCAAGAGCCAGGTCCAGCAGAACCTTCTGAGGGAACTGGTGGCTAGCTCCCCAGCCACAATTTTTTTTTTTATTGATCAAGGGAATGCTTGGAACACCCACAGCCGGTTGGGTAAGTGAACGTCCCAACATGATTTCCTGTGTTAATCCGGAAATGTTCACCACGTCGACGGTTTTTTTGACCACAGTCATACAATTTGTTGACATTTTTCTACCGTTCCCAGGTGCAGTGGATATGGATCCTCAAGCCAAGAAGCCGAGCGGCCAATCATTGAAAGGCAAAACGATGCAACGCGTTCCTAGGGACAGAGTTGGAAAAAAATCTCTTGACGAACAATCACCAGTATATTATATACCTGGATATTCATGAACATGATCTGACAAGGCTTCGCAGATGGAGGTTTGAGTGTCAAATTAAGTATAGCGGACCCCCATGCACAGCCGGAAAGGTCAGAAAAATATTTGATTTGTTGTAGTTGCGCAGACCTAAAATGGACGGCAGGAGAGCGAATCAAGCTCTCACGTCGCAAAATAACAATCTGCGGGTTCAGGTTTCTCGTGAGACCATCAATCCAATGTGTATCTTAGATCATCTTTGTAGTTACAAAACCAATCCCTTGTTCTTTGGAGCTGCACAGGAAAGACCGTGACCAACTGGCTGAACCACACGCTTGGGCAGGCCGAGCAAGAATGTGGGAGCAAGACGGAAGGTCGTGCCACCAAAGCAAGATTTGGCTTACCCATTTCCGAGCCTTTTTATTGTGGTCTTTGAATGTCTTTGACCTTTTTCGATGATGTCAATTATATATGTGTTGACCTAAAGTTCCTTCAAGACTTGGTGACTCAAACAGTTTGACCCCAGGCGACCCACAAGCTTGACAACGGAGTCGTTGCCAGTGCTGCGGCCAAGCAAGCTCAGGCGCTAGCGCAACCCATGTGGCTGTCAGCTTCGTATCCGTCGTGGCACCATGTTGGGTGGCAGGGCCTGGCACATTTTGGCATCGACAACGCGGCATTGGAGCGTTTGGGGCTGGATCACCAGGCGATGAACGAGAGAAACATCTTGAAACCTTTGAGTCAAAATGGAGATGTTTCGAATGTCGTAAGCCCAATATATCCCAATAATCAACTATCCCCATGAAACAACTCTTGACCAATCAGATGATTTATTAGTTTATTATTGGCTTTACATGGCTTTACCACATTAGCAACATTGGAAAGATCAATGATTGCTTGGACAGGCGGCTGACCGAGTGTACCGCGCCATGTTTGTCTACTCCCAGGGACTGCATGCTGTGCTACAAGAGGCACCGACATCGCTGGAGATCGCTGGAAGGGATGAACACGGCAATGGAGAAGTACCATCAATTTTCCCATTTGTAGTTTATTGTGCCAGAAGAAAACGAAATTCTTACCCTCTGGTAAACCCTCTGGTAAACTAACATAGCTATGGAAAACCACCATTTTCAATGGGTAAATCAACTATAAGTGGCCATTTTCCATAGCTATGTTAAATTACTAGAGGGTAAATTCCCCATGACCAGGGATGCCAATAGAGTCATAGAATATCGGTCACCTGTTAGTCCTTGCCCTGGCCCTGGAGCCCTGGAGGCAGTTGGCCGCGCCAAAAACAGCTGGAGCGCCTTGCTGGTTTTGTGGCGAGCCTTTCAAGCAGTCCTCGAGCAGGCGGGGCATAGTCGGCCATAGTCATGGGGGTACTCAGCTGGATGGTTTATACATGTTGATACTGTAAAATCCCAACTGGATGATAACTAGGTAGGGGTATCACCAATTTTAGGAAACCTCCACATGAGTAATACTACATCATCATAGCTCAACACATGTCAAAGCGATCAAAGCTGATGGTTCAGTTCAATGGCTCCAACATTTTGTGAGCCCCCAGTTCATTAGGAACTATGACAACATGGGCTTGGTGGCCGAAATTGAAGATTGCGGCCTTGCAATGAAAAAAACTGTTTCCAATGCCATTTTTGGAGAGCCAAAAGGTGAGATGGGGATGGGTTCGAAAGTTACTTAAAAGGTCTTCAAGTTGTTATCCAACTTTTTTTGGCTACCCATTCTGACCCAAGTACCCATGACGTCGCGGGAGGCAGGGCAAAGTGATGAGCATGGGTCTGAAAGCCTTGCTGCGCTGGTGCAGCGCGGCAATGAAGAGGAAAAGGACTGCAATGGGATTTAGGGAAAAACATCGGGAAGGGGTGTTTTCATGCCCCCCAAAATACAAGATATCGTTTTGGGCCATGTGGAAGTAAACCATTTAAAATTTAAACATATTTAAACATTATTGCGCATTTGAGCTTGACCCAGAAGCATTCAAGACAAACAATGATGAATAAGGAAGAACTACAAGCAACGTTAAGAGGCAAGAAATGAGCGAAGTCCGAGCAATCAAACGACATCAAACGACCAAGCCACAGACTTTGGACCAAACGCGGAGGAGAGAGTCGAAGGCCAATTCCGAGATCAGATCAATGCCTTGCAAGCGCAGGCACGATTAATGCCATGTTGGTGACAAGTTGCCAGGTCTTTCCTAGCTGCATTTGGGTGTGTCTTATCCATAGTGTACCCCTTTTTACCCAATGGTTTTGCTGATCATTATCCATCATTATCCCTATTAAATGGCTATTTTTTTGGGAATATACCCTGTTTTCAGACAAACCCATTTGGAGAATTTTTTGTTTCCAGGTGGAAAGACTCACCCGAGAATTGCGATCCTCAAAGGACGAGCTTCAGACTCAGAGATGAGATTTGAAGATCGCCACCAGGGGATGGGGGTCCTAAAACAAGGCTACCCGCAGAAGTCATCCAACATTGGACTATGTGACTATGTTTAACCACCATTTTTATCCATTTTTGGTGAAAGCTATTGTTTTGGGGATCCACCATTTTAAGAAACCAGATGTCAATGTTCTTCATGTTTTTTGTTCGAGGATGTTGGAGGCCACAGGAGCTGTACATCGGCTATCAACTGAGGCTTCAGAGGGTCAAGGAGGCGCAGCTGCAGAACGTTCTCCGCACTTTGACCACGGTTGCAAATGTCATTGAACCGGCAATCCAATTCAAAAGCTCGAACTCAGTGAGTTTGCGAGGAAGCAGTTTTGAAATACACAGAGTCCTTGATATCCTTTGGGCCTGTGCTACCAGTTGCCCTGGTCAAATCACAGAATGGCCAGGATGAAATGAGGATGCGCAATGAAAGTGAGAAATACAAGACAGACTTTGCCCGGTGCCAAGATGCCATGGGTAGAGGAGGTAGGAGTAGGTCGGGTAAGAAACCTGAAACAGCTGGCTCAAGATAGCTAAAGAATATGACATATGGATATATATATATATATAAAATGTATAATCCATCAATTATGGATAATTATGGATAATTATGGATAATGATGGGCGGGTCAAAACCTCTGAGTCACCATCAATTTTGGTGTTGAACGTGCAGCTTTTCGGCCGAGGAATCGACAGAGAAGCGCTATGAGGTGGAACTGAAAAAGCGAGGTGATGCTGAGGCGATCAGACGGTACTCTAAGATATGGGGGTTTCCATGGTCATGGGGGTACCCCAATAGCTGGATGGTTTGTAATGGAAAATCCCACTAAAATGGATGATTTGGGGGTACCCCTATTTTAGGAAACCTCCATATGTGAATGTGATATGTAAGATGGTGTGAGATGTTGTAAAACTACGTAAAACTGCAAGAGCAGATGTCTACATTGTTCACTGGCGTTCTGCGCCACCGGTCTCTCGGCTTTGTCCACGTAAAGATACTTTGAGCATCTTTGAGCATTGTGATCCTGTTTCTTCAGCATCCTCACCAACCAGGTGAAGTATTTGGACAAAGTTCGGGAATGCGAAGCTTTAGAGGCAGGTCATTGGACAGTTGCTGGACTCTGAAGTGTTTCTGCCTCACAGTGGCTCGTGCTGTGGCAGGAGAATCTGAACAAGAAGGAGGAGGAGAATTTAGTGGGAGGCTGAGAGCCAGAACACAACCAGGCATGATTCTGATGTCTAGATACGTCATGAATATATGAATGATATGTTTAAACAAGTAAATTCATAGATAATGCGTTGGCTTTTGCAGACGAGGACCCCGTGGTGTTCCTTTTGACAGCTTGAGAGTTGCAGCATGTCGCAGCTGTTCGCTCAAGTTTGCCGCACTCAGAGTCTTTCCAGCGGGTCTTACTAAGTAAGTGGCTGAATGTCAATGTCCGCTGTTGTCAAGATGGGAAGCCTGATGGTGGCTGTCCTTGCAGCTCTGGATTCACGCCTGGAAGGCCAAGAAGCAGTGCCAACAGTTCCACGAATGGCTCTGCCCATGCGAATTCCAAGTATTTCTCAGGTCATGAGCAAGGATGTTTTCGGCAAGAGCACTCAGTGCAATTGGGGCGGAGTGAATTCCTACTTCCTATGGGCCGTGGGAGCCTCCGAACAAGACCAGATCCTTTCAGACATGCAACAGAGAGGCCTGAAAATGATGCGTATTTTCGTGAGCACGGTGCCTCAGAATTTCAAAAGCACCACCAGCCAGTTCGTTCCTTTCTTCGAACCAGATCACATGGGTGCATACAACTACACATCTTTGGAGCTAATCAACAAGTTCATGGTCAAGGCACACAGCTATGGTATCAAACTGCAGATAGCGTTGCATGACCGCTACGAACTCGGCTGTTGGTATTGTGATGGCTACCAAAAGGACCTAGGCTTGGCTTGTCTCTCAGGCAAACCATGTGGCCCTCTGTGCCTTTCCTCTGCTTTTGACAGGTTTTGAAGCTGCAAAGACGTTCGCGCACACCTCTTTTTTCCTCAGTTGCAGGTAGTACATAGGTGAACAGTGAACAGCAGTGCTTGATGGATCTCAGGAATGATGCATCTAAGTTCTACAAAGATGCCAACGCTATCAAGTTCTTTGACAAGCGATTAGAGACCATTCTGAACTTCAAGAGTCTTGGGCCTGATAGGCTGATAGGTTTGTTTCTTGTTTCAATTCGTGAAGTTTAGCAGTGCTGAGCAGGCATGGTTGCCTTCTTCAATTGCAAACTGAGGAATCCGGACATGGGCAACAAGAGATGGGGAGATTTGAAAGAAGTGGTCGTGACTGAAGCAACATAGCAGACCATTTTTTCTTTCTTTGCTGCTTGGAATCACCCATAGAGTCAGCAAAAGATTTGTAAAGCTATGACTATAGACTATATATATATAATATAATATATATATATATATGGCTATATATAATATATATATATATATATATGGCTAGGAAAGACATAGACCCACCGAAACTTGTGATTTCTAAAGGTCCAGAGACCACAGGGCACTGAAATGAAATAGATCCATCTATTTTGGACATTTGCACGTTTTGCGTGATTGACAGGAGCCGAGTTTCTCTTGGGAATTCCTATCTGTGTAAATGCAACAAACAGTGGTTGATCAAAATAACATATATATATATATATATAACAATATATACACATACCCTAATAGATAATGATCCTGAAGTCCATAGAATCTTGGACTTTCAAAGAAAATAACCAATTTACTGATGATCATGAGAAAACATGTCCATATTCTATGATATTCATTGATATTATCATTCTATGCGTCGGACTCATATGATGATTCCATATGATTCCTGATATACCCTCTGGTAATTTAACATAGCTATTGAAAATGGTCATTTATAGTGAGTTTTCCCATTAAAAATGGTGATTTCCAATAGTTACGTTAGTTTACCAGAGGGTATCTGTAGGTTGACTTGGCGCCATCTGAGGCCATCTTCCAAATCCAGAACGAGGCCCAGGGACTCGACCCACAGCCCTGGGCCACCAACTGGCACTGTGCTCGCGCCAAGAAAATGCGGCCACTGATGGACCCGGTGCCTCGGCTCACGCCGAAAGGGAAAAGGCCTTTTAAAAGATGACATGGGATTGATGGACCTATCATATTCTATTTATATGCAGTAACATGATATATATATATAAATATACACGTATATAGAACATATAGTATATCATATATCATATATGGTATGTGATATATTGTATAATATATATATATAATATAAGATGATATATATATATATATTATAATATAATATAATATAATATAACATAATATAACAGAATATAACATAATATAATATAATACAATATAATATAATATGATATGATACAATATAATATAATATAATATAATATAGAATATAATATGATATAATATAATATATAATATATATAATGTAATGTATATATACATAGATCATATGCAATATATATATATATAATATGTAATAATATATCTAATATGTAATATAATATATAATATGCAATATTATATATAATATGATGTGTAACATATATATATATGTATATATATATAATATTGATATGTAACATATATATATAATATAATATGATATATGATATATAATATGATATACAATATGCAATATATATATATAATATGTATTATATAATATGTATTATATAATATGTAATATATAATATGTAATATATAATATGTAATATATAATATGTAATATATATATAATACGCACTATCTAATATGAAATATCCAATGTGTAATATATAATTATTATATAGACTAAAGAACTGGTAATACTGATGAACAGAATCATGACAATCATGATAACAATAGCGATAATCGTCAGATAAGATTAGATAGATCATGTGTGCATCTATAATTACAACTAATTACATCTATCAACTTTTTGTGAAGCAGCGCAGCTACAGAGGAGATCTATATCGGCACTGGAGGTGGCCGAACCTTTGCGGAAAGCATCTTGCTGGAACACTTCCAGTGTCCTGAAATCGATGTCATTAATCTCCACGACTACGAGGAATTGACCTGGACTGGGATGCATGACAACCTCAAAAAGGCCCGAGACCTAGGTCAAACCTGGGGCAAGAACCTTGGCACCATAGATCTCTTTTTTTCCCCATGGTTGGTGGATCCCGAAAACAACACTGTAACTGACGATAAATTGTAAATTGTATACTACTGGTTTAGGCCACTGATTCAAGACTTCCAGCTGGTGGCCTGTTTTGTGCTGCTGGATCAACTCTTTCCTTGGAAAAAATCTGGAGTTATTCCACACGGACCTCAACTCCAACTCTCGCCCCCCTTATAGGTCGATACAATGCTAGGTCAGATGCACCACCTGCGAATGAGATCATTCTCGGCCCGTCATTTCATCCTTGACATTTGATTCATCATTTGAGCCTAACGCATGATTGTTTCAATTCCTCCCAGGAAGGTCGTGTATGAAGAATTTGGCAGTACCAAGAGGTATTATCGCGCAGATCATCACTATGCGGTCATCACAGCATCTGTGAGTCTGGGCCTACCCTTCATGTCCTGGCAATATATGATTCCAGGTGGGGGGTTAAATTTTTCAAACTGGGGGACCAGAGATGACTTAGAGGATTTTTAGTGCTAAGTCTATGGCGCGTGAACCATCCAATTATTGTGGTGCCCCTAAACCCAATGGCTAGTTTGGTCAATTTAGGGGGAAACCCCTAAATCCAATGGTTGGTCATCATTTTCCCTAATGGCTACAATTGGGGTCCCTATACCCCATTTGCAATGCAAATGAGTCCAGGCAACACAGATGACACTGATTACGAGTGGGATGACAAGCAGGCCACATGGCCTGTCATGGTCTATGGCGCGTTGCTTGCGAATGAAACAAGGGCAGCTTTCTCATGGCCCAACCTCAACCTTTGCACTGTCCCTTAGTGGTTTGTTGACAAGACACATCAAGACACCCCGGCAGATTTCGAAGAATTTTCGAAGAATTTTCGAAGGTGCCTAAGGTGCACTCCCTTGAGCGGGGATGCAGGGATGTATTTGAAGACTCCCAGGGATTACTAAGCATGAATTCTTAGCCATTTTGCTCTCTTCAGTGCTGTATAGACAAAATTTGGAGAGAGAGCAGTGTCTAGACTTAACGAGGCATGGAGGCTTTGAACTCTCTTGAGCTGAGATGAGCCAAAAAAAAAAGGTGAATCTGTGGCTGTTTGAGATTGCACAGCTAATTCCCTGCTGGATATCAACGATATATTTATGATCTATTTTTGTCTGATTTTATTAATACGTAACACAATCACTAAGGCGTGGTCCCCTGGTATCGACTCCCACTTTGACACTTACCAACTTGTTGAGCAGTCTTTTACCCGACCTCTGCACCATGCCATGATGCCAAGGATTTGAAGGAACGTCTATATGAGGACGGTTGCCGAGGGTTGGAGCGAGTCACCTCATTAATCTAGACATCCACAAGCCTAGGAGTTCGGTTTGTGCACAAGATCAGCATTTTGTAAACTACGCCTGAAATGGATTTGAGCTTTTGAGCCACGTCTTTTTCTCACATATTCACTCCAGAGTCCAGTACCAATAGTGTGATGGGGACCCAGCTGGCCAGCGACCTGATGCAGGAGTTGGCTTCGAATGCAAAAGCCCGACAGGACGAAGGGTGGGGAGTCGCCCTGGCTTCACTGTTGGCATCATCGAAGGCCATAGGTCTCCAATGAGTCTCAAATATGCTGAACCTTTTTGATCTTTTGTGATGGCTACTAGTAGCTTGGAAATCACATTTGATCTGAAGCTTGAAGAAACTGCATGCTTTTTGAAATTACGAACAACTCTTTGTTGATCGTGCGAACTGTGAGAAGCTGCCCGGCCATGAAAGAAACATGTCAATCTGCAGGAGAACGATATTCTCACCAACCAGAACAAGGCCTGTAGTGATTCTGAGTATGGGGGGTTTCACTGCCACGATTCTTGTTTTGTTTTCTCATGAAGCCAGCGTGCTTTGGGTTCAGCAACTTCAGGGCATGAGTAGTCCGTTGGCTGCAGGTGCTTGATGGACAAGTGCAGTCCCTCCGCCAGCAAGTGCAAGAGGCCGGACAGTCAAGTCGAGTATTGGGTGTTTTGTTCCCAATTTTCTGCTTAATTTTCTCCGGTTCTTTTGATTTTCTTCCTTTTAACGTACCTATTTTCTCCCTGATTTTCTTCCCTGTTTTATCCCCAGTTTTCTTCCATTTTTCTTCCGTATTCTCTCCCTGATTTTTTGCCTACTTTCTCCCCGACTTTATATATTGCCTTGCTTCTTCCCATCTTCTGCTGGATTTTTCCCGTTTTTTACCATATCCAATCTACAGGCGAAGTTAAGTGGTGACTTTCCAATACTTTTCGTGTGTTTTGCGATGTTTACCAAGAGCTCTTGGCGGTCACTGCACGTGGAAGCAGCAGATGGAGCTCTATATCAGGCGAGCATCTACAAGCAGCGCTTGGAGCAGCAGGCAGGGTCAAGGGAGCAGCCTCTACTTGAAGCAATTACTAGGCAGGATGCTTCATGGCAACTGCAGATCTCTGCACATCAAAACCACAAATCCGAAAGCCATTCCGGGGACGATTGGCTTGGGATTGGCTTGGGGCTGCAGTTGCTACAGTGCCACCAGAGGTTGGACTGTTGAAACAGCAGATGGAGCAGACGATGGCGAAGACAGCTGAGCTGCAGGAGGGTGACGGCAGATTCTGCAATCAGAAGCTTTCCATAACTTTTGTATCAAAAGCCAGAGTCTCTTTTTTTTCAGGATTTGATTTCTTCTATGTTTCAAACTTGAAGGCAGTCTTCTTCTTTTCACGCTTCCTTGCTGCCCAAGATGCTAATCCAAAGTTTTGGAGGATCAACTGGACATTGAGCAGGAAGCCAACAAAAAGTCCTTTTGCTCAGATTCGAGGGTCACAAGATAGCAATACTGGCAATACCTCAAGGGCAAACTGGAGCACGCATCCCTTTTCAGAGCTTGGTAAACACTGGACTGGTGAGAATGTTTCCATTTTTTGGCTGAGGGGTAACATGTTCACTTGGAAATGGCTCATATGGCTCACCATCCCTCTATGGTGCTGGGTGATGTCCAGGCTCACAGAACAAATCTCGTTGGAGCAGCGGCAGTGCCGACGCATGGAGAGGGAATTGGAGGCCGATGTGTTTTCGGAGCAGTTTTCGGAGCAGTTATCAGAGCAACTTGGAAGGGTTTGCAAAATTTGGCTTCAAGAAGGAACCGGGGGTGGTGATTGATATTGCATTTGGAGCTACAAAGACACAAGACGTTCTTATTGCTTTGGACATACCCAGAGCTGTCAGGATGAGCAACACATGCGCAAGGCGAGGGTGGGCCATGGTTGGATCAAGATCTTTGGGACCAGGGTTTTGAATGGAAAAATGCCCCATTCCCACACCATGGGGCCCTTGGGTTTTTGAACATGATCAAGCATGTACAAGCCCCCAAATCCCCAACTGAATGAATGAATGAATGAATAAATGCATCCTCCTTCAAATTTCAGCTACGAAATGGGGAGGACTTGGGCTCCAGTACAGATTGCCAGCCAGGATTTTTTTGTACAAACAGGAGGGGTTGTGCCCCCCATTTTGTATTTGAAATCATTTTGTAGTTGATTCCTTTTAAATCATGCATTTTCATTTTGTAGTTGTATATGTTGAGTTAGTTGAAGCATCCAACATAAAATCTCATTAGCATTTTGTAGTTGTACAAGTTGAATAGTTGAAGCATCCAACATAAAATCTCATTTGCATTTTGTTCTCCGAAATTATGTTGGTCGGAACTTTGGATGGCAAAGACCCAACTACAAAATGTCATTGGGAAAAAATCATGTTAGAAATTCCGACTTTCAGCTATTTTTTGTCTTCAGGTGCATTGGATTTTGTAGTACTGGTTTTGAATTATTTTCCGATCCAGAAAGAGTTATGCTCTGCATTTTGTAGTTGCAAAAAAAGTACATGCACTTGCATTTTGTATACGTGCACCCTGTGCATTCCGCTCTGTATCTACGAAAACCAGCTGCACAACTCCTCCCCCCTTATTTGAACCCTGATATAAATGCATGAAATGAAATGACATTAAAAAATGAAACGAATGAATGAATGAATGAATGAATGAAATGAAATGACATGAAAAAATGAAATGAAATGAATGAATGAATGAATGAATGAATGAATGGAATGAAATGAAATGAAATGAAATGACATGAATGAATGAATGAATGAATGAATGCAATGACATGAAAAAATGAAATGAAGAATGAAGGGGTTGACCATCCCCTCAACATGAGTATCATGACCCACTGGCAATAACTTGCCGTTGATCTCCTCGGGTGACTTCGAGGAGATGGAGAATGAACGAAACCTCCTGCGGGACAAGTTGACGCGGCTTGAAAAGCAAGAACTCACGCTGATCGAGGACTGACCTGACAGATCTGACAGATCTGACAGCGCATCCCCAGAAAGTCCCCAGAAAGAAATGAACTGGAACAAGCGTGCCAGGACCGAAGAAACTTGCAGAAGCAGTTGAATGATTTGAACCTGGTGCATCGCTCTGCTCAAATTGAGCTCACCCGGAAGGTGGCTTGCCAGAACAGAGGGTAGGTGCATGAGTTGTTTTGGAGCTTGAAGATGGGAGCGGTAGATATCCCCGAAACATTAAGTTTTGCAGACAACAAGACAAATACAGGGTCCACACCAACATAACCCCCTCAAGAAAAAATAAAGATCGATGCATGAAAAGTTATTAAAAGTAACTTCTGCATGAAGTTCGGAGATGTGAAGTTATAAATTTTGTTGTAAAGCAATGTCATAAACCACACGGATTGATTGTTTATACAATGGTTTATATACCATCCATTGATGGTAAAATTGGGGATACAGCTCCAGTGGCTCCCAGCTCCATCAGCTCAATGAGCTGAGGCCGAGCACTTGGAACGCACTGACAAGACGCTACACACCTTGCAGGTGGGGAGGTTAGAGGTTGGATCCCCAACCAGGTCTTCTTTGGTTTTTTCAAAAGATCAAGGCCCAAATCTCAAGCTGGACTTGATTCAGCTTGACGAATCTTGATGAATTGGAATTGATGGAATTATATGTATGTATATATATATATATTGTGTCATGTGTTTTGAAGAGTGAGCGGATGGCATTCTGGGGAATTCCAGCTCAACCACTTGGAGATTAACCATTAAAATCATTAAAGTAACTGAAACTAAAGCCTCATGGACTCATGAAGGATTGGTTCGAAGTAGAACAAACACATGAGTTCATCATATTTCATCTTTAGTTCATCCTCAAATCCATCATGAATCCATGATGAATCCCTCATGAAGTTGGGCGAAAAATCTGAGCTCCGCCAGGAGAATCACCAACAGTTGCAGGATGCCCATCGAGCCATGGGGGTGGAGGTCGACAATCTCCGAGAGGTGCCGAAGCCCGCGCCGAAGCCGCGCCGTACCCGAAGCGGTGTGGTACGTGGTACCGACACCGGTGGAAGGTGAAATATGGCAGCCTGGGAAATTCCTGAACTAAATGACTATAGATGGGGTTTTATTGGTGTTTTATGTATAATTATGTATATATATATATAATTATATATAATTATATATATATATATCTACGGAAATCATAGGAAAATATCGGACATCCCCAAAATTTAGAGGCTGAACACTCCGAAAATGGTCTGAGATATTTTCCAGCAAGCCATGTTTGATTACCAGACGAAGCTGCCATAAACCATTCACCAACCATGACTGGGAACATTTTCCATTATCCCATTGCGAACGGGGTATAACCGTATAATGTCAACCCCGGATAAATAAACCATGGTTTACCCTCTGGTAAACTAACATAACTATGGAAAATCACATTTTTTTATGGGAAAACTCACTAAAAATGCCCATTTTCAATAGCTATGTTAAATTACCAGAGGGTATTAATTAGGGGGGTACTCCTCCAATAGTCATAATTAATGATACTTAAATGGTACCCTCCCAATTAAACAATCGTTTGGGGTTTATTAATCCAGGGTTGACATTACCCAACAAACAATAAACCTCAAACTGAAAGATAGTCTATGGCAATCGGTTTACCACATTAAGCTGAATAACATGCTGTCGAAGTTCAAAAAGGGTCATCGATATTCCAATACTTTCTTTGTGACATTTATGGCCCATCATAATTTTTAAGCTTTCCTAAAATGGGGGAATCCCCAAATCCCCAAAACCATAGGTCTGAATACTCTGAAATTGTCTCAACTTTTGGATGATTTGGTGGTAGCCCTATAGGAACCCCCCAATTTTTTCGGAACAGTGAAACAGTGATGCCAGCAGCCAGGATGTACATCGCATGGACGATCAGCTGCACCGAGAGGTGCGGCAATTTCTGCGGATCTGGACGAAGATTTTTTCTCTTTTTTTGAACATTGGGGATGGTTTATGATGTTTGTGAAAAAGATTGAAATTGGCTCTACCACTTTGAAAGGCATGGTTTCTATTGAAATTTTTAATTAAACATAATTAAACCGAACCGTTTACCTTTCTGATAATTAACAACTTTTCCAGTACCAAGTCATGGTTTCATGGTTTCCCTTCTTTCAAAAGGGGTCCCAAATCAACCACCGGCACCCTGCACGCAGACGACCCTGCGGAAGAGCTTGCAAGAGGAGAAGAAGACGCTGATGGCGCAGGCAGCAGTCATGGTGGATGCTGTTTTTTTTTGGCCAAAAAGATGTAGGGATTTAGTGATTCAATGTCATTGAATGATGGTTGGCGTTTTCAATGTATTTCTACATATTTCTACACCCTACAAATCGGATGATGACACCCGAGTTACCATCTGGCTATGACTAACATAGCCATGGAAAGATCCACCATTTTTAATTACGGTAAACCATCTATTTCTATGGGCCATCTATTTTCCATGGCGAACTGTTAGTCATAACCAGAGGGTTTTTCCTATTTTCTCGATGGGTTGATGCCTCCAGATCTAACCATGGCACTGTAGGTCCAGAATCTCGTGGTTCAGCTGGAGACCTCCAGACTGGCGGCCGATGGCTCGGTGGGCGATTGCGGTTCAGTAGCCGGCCTGGTAAACGTTCACATAACTATGGAACATCACCATTTTTCATGGGAAAAACATGGAAAAACTCACTATAAATATCTATGAATGGCCATTTTCAATAGCAAACTGTTAGTTTACCAGAGGGTAGATGGTTTCTCTGACTGGCAGTACCAAGGTGGACTCCACCCAACGCGAGTTGGTGGATGTAACAGACCACAAGGCACTGGCTGCGGCTTTGTAAATGACACAAGATGGGTCAAGGGCTGAACCACTAGCAGTCACTAGCATAAGGGAACCCACCCCCAATTCCTTTTGGGCAGGGGGCAGGGTGTCTGCAGACCTAGCAGTCCAATCTCTCGTCCAATCTCTGTGGCAGGTGCGCCTCGAAGGCATTTTGCGAGACACCAAGTAGGGTGGCCCAGCCTCCCATCGGATGGCTATGGGTGTGAAGGGACCGGGTCTGGACCTGCCAAATGGCTCTTGTCCGAAAATCGGGTAGCCCAAAATACAGTGGTTTATCGTGGTTTATCATCATTTTCAGTATTTTGAAGTGCAATTTTGGGCTACTACCGTATTTTCAGATATTCCATGATATTCCCATGTTAGTGATATTTGGATATATTTGCGATCAAGGCGTTTTTGATTCTCTGCTAGGCCATTCGGGGCATCCAATTTAAAGCCATGACCCTCATTCAGCATCATTCAGCCGGAATTCGGTGTGTTACCCCTCTGCATCGCTTCCAAACGCAGGTCTGCGATGCAGAAAGTGACCCTTGAGCAACAGATTGAGCAGAAGTCGCATGCGCAGCGGACCGCCATGCTGGAGAAAGCAGGGAGACCTGGGATGTTTCAGAAATCCCACGGCCTCGCCTGGCGGTTTTAAACAAAGATGATTTCATATGATTTCAACAACAAAAAAGCCTTCCATGGGATGACATGATTTTGGTTCGTTATTTCAACGTTATTTCAGTTACCCTCTGGTAAACTAACATAACTATGGAAAATCACAATTTTTAATGGGAAAACTCACTATTTCTATGGTCATTTTCAATAGCAAACTGTTAAATTACCAGAGGGTATATCATGTTATATCCATGTGATATCCATCCCTGATGGCAAAGAATCACGGAATCACGGGCCGCTTTTCGCACGAGGTGATCTCGGACGAGCGCGCGGAACGCCGAAACCTGGTGAATGAGACGTTGGAGGCGGGGCGGATCATCATTTTCTCCATTGAATATGGGGATTTCCCATGGATTACCATAGAAAATGATAGAATCCATGGGGGTATCTCCATTCAAAGAGTTTTTGAAACTGGGAGATAGCCCCATTTAAAAGAAGCACAGTCATATGCAGCCATATGTTGTTTGCTTTCAAGACTTTCTTGGTCATATTGTGTAATTCTGGAGGGAATGTAGGACGTCCCACTGAGCGCCCATGATGGGGTTCAGAGTTCCATTGGAGAACTGTGTCCCCTGCAATTTTGGAAGGTGAACTCCCAGCGGGAAGACACTTTGGACTGTCTCCGACGTGCACAAAATGAGGCGGGCTCTCTTGAAGCCCGGGAGTTGAAGTCTGTGGGAAAGTACCCCAACACCAACTGAACATAACTGAACTAGTTTAAGAGACATTGCTGTAACATGCAAGTGCTTCAGAGACAGCTGTCTCTGCTTGTTTTTGTTAGCTTTGCTGATCCGATGGCCGACAGATCACAGAGATCAAGCGACAGCGTTTGGAGAATGAAGAGGAGATCGAGCGACTGAAAGTGATGTCGCTGGGCTGGAAGGATAGCAAAGCTTTGGGCCATGTAGGCAGGCGCCCACCCTGCGGAATACATCAGAAAACCAACGTGGAATATCATTTTATCATTTCCAATAAGAAGATCATATCATCATATCGCAAACCTTTCTTTGTTAGAGTTTCATGTCACTTGGCCAGGTGGAAGACTCTTGGGTATGGAAGTTTGATGGGATGGTTAAGTAAATATCAGCAAAGATGACTACTGTAGTCTTCCCAGCATGTTGCCGGTAGTAAAGAGTCATGAAGTGACTATGATTGGAATGTTGGAATCTTGGAAATTCCAAATGCTGACATCATCCAAATCGAACATCTTCAAAAGTAGGGTCTCCTTGGCTCTTGTCAGATTCTTACTCGTGTCTATGACAATGTTCGTATTTTTATTTTACTGGCCGGACAGCATATGTTTTTCTTTTACTGTTACCATAGTCAAGATACACAATTATACAGATACATACAATAGATATCAATAGATGATATTTTCCTGCACCATTTCCCTCAAAACCATGGCCAATCCACAGCTCCTTGTTTTTGGCCTAGGCTTTCTGCACAGGAGCATCGCAATACAGAGCAGCTCGTCACAGTCCCTTGGTGTCAGCACTGCATCCCGAGTTGGATCAGGATGAAGGGGACCATGATAGAAACCATTAAAGGAATAGAAGATGATATCACTTTGTTACTATCTAGAACAATTCTTTTATCCTTCCAGGATATCACCATCAATGGTCCTGTCATTAATAGTATGAAGCCCCATCTAGTTCTTCCATTGTTCTAGAATTTCAGGCTGCTAAAGGTTACTAAATTCAGAAAAACTCAGTTGAAACTATTGACAATTTTTCAAAACTTTGAACGAACGCTCCAACCCTCGCTGAGATCGACAAGTATCACGCCGTGGTGGCTTCGCACGAGGCGGAAGTGCATCAGATTCAGGCGTGGAAAAACTGTTTTTTTTCATGAGGAACATGGTGATTTTCATAGGGAAAATGGATGAAATGGTATAAAATGGTGGGACGCTGAAGAAAACATGCACTGTCTGTGCTTGACCGTCTCAACGGGGAGACTCTACCTCGATCACATGGTGCAAAGCGCCAAATGTTAGCGGATCATACATGAAGGATTCTCAAGGTGAATGTGTTGGGCTTTATACATTCAATGGATTGGTTTAAGGGAAAAGTTACAGGAAAACACCATATTTAATGGGAAAATCTATGGCTTCCTGCAAATTTTCCCTTAAACCAATCCATTGATACATTGAACTTTTCTCTTCTTTTCCAGTAGAGACAAGAAGATCTTTAGGACTTTAGGCCTAAACTGAACTGAACTGACGCAGATGCTGCTGGAATGTGAGAGGGAGGAAGCTGCGAGAAAGATGGCGGAGTCATGCCGGCTGTGATGTTACTACATTGAGCTCAAGGTCACATGAGCTCACCATTTTGATCACATTTGGCATGTTTTAAAGTGTCTTTTGCCTTTAATATGTGACTTTTTTCATCAAACATAGTATATATACAGTATACAGTACATTAAAAACATAAACACAAATGCTTGTGACAGCTTGTGCATCAAAGGAATCAAAGGAGTATCCCATGGATTTGACGCCAGGCTTCAAGATGCCTTCGCAGCGGCCCAGAAAAGCCTTGAGCAACGCTTGGATCAGTACCGCTTCAGCTATGAGGCCTTGGATGGCCTCGGGTTTGGGGATGACCAATGGTATACCAATGGTTCAGGTTTGGTGATGGTGAAGGTGAAGGTTATTGATTCAAGTTATTGATGGCTATATAATGAATTATAATGATATATATAATGACCAAGACAGTGATGGTTATGATTCGGTTACTGGTGGTCGATGATCTTGGTGATGGTTATGGTTTTGGTGATGGTATTTCCAGCATTGAATCCACTGACTCAGTTTTTTTCCCTGCTTGAACTATTAGACTTAGAATAATTTGTCATTGCATAACGAGGCAATGTTTTCTGTCGAGATGGTGCATACGTCGCTTCTCCTGCTCTTGCTAGGACTTAAGAGCCCTGATTTGTCTCAGAGAGGATGAGAAGTCCAAGGACAGGAAGCGTCAGCGATATTGAGATGGACTGCATGCCGCATTTCAGGATGGCCCTTGATACCCTTGGTCAGCTTTCATGACACTGACATGTCTTGCCATCGCATTGGCATCGCAACTTTTTCGTGCCGAGATACTCCCAGGAAGCTGAACGCGCAAAGCGCAACTCGCTGGAAGAACAGGCCGGCGTTGGTGGCTGCTGCAGTAGGACGATGCTTCAGAGAGCTTTCGATTCTGGGGAAATAGGATGAAATAGGATCTGAATTTGAAGTTTGACCATTTTGACAAAGCCATGAGGAACCAACCAATTTTTCGATCCTCGGTTGCATGACGTTGCATGTTACGCAGCGAAGGTACGGAAACTGAATGCGCAGATGGACTTGGTGCAGGCCGGGAAGTGTTTGTTGTGGCAAGTGTTTTTTTCCTCTAATGCTTTTCTGGGCGAGAGGAGCCAGTCTATGACAATCTATGGATGGGTCAAAACCCCGGTACCTAGTGAACCCCAAAATAGCTGGTAAATGGATGTTCATCCCACTAAAAATGGTATTAATAGGTATTGACCCATACCCATCTATGGATAATATGCTTATTCCATGCCGCAGAACCTGCTTCCAGGAGGAAGCAGCTTCAAATCTGAAGCGAGCCCAGAACGCGGAGACGCAGCCAGAACGCCCCGGGGGAGGTGAAGATTGGAGTTCCCAAATTTGAAGCTCTTGGTGCAAGCGGACAAAGCTTTACTTTGGATAAGTAGTGTTCAAAACACATCAAGACCCCTATTGGTTGATGATAAAAGCGAAATTATATACGTATACGATTACATTAATATATATATATAAAAAATATATATATATAATATATATATAATATATATATTCATGGGAATTCATCCTATCCAACTTGCATTTCTGCGTGTCGTTTACTGAGGGTGAGACAGCGGAACATGCAGATTGACGACCTCCATGATGGGATGAAGAAAGTCCGGCGGGAGCCAGGAAGCTTAAAACGCTGGGGGGGTTATACAGTTATATAATATATATATATATTATATTGGGGATTACATGGTCATATATATATATATTTATGATATATATATATATATATGATAATAAAATAGAAACTATGCAAATCTATCCAACATATTGGGGACAGGGTCACCACAATTGGCTTCGATGAGGTATCGAGTGCGATACTTGGATAGTTTTGTTCTCGAGTATCAAAGAAGTGCAAATGGAAGCACTCTTCTTTCCTTCATGTGTTTGCATCTCAGACACCATGCTAGGCTTTGTTTTTGCAAGTGTTCACAGATCCTTCACACAAACCTTGAACATGCATGAACATGCGACGATTCGAGGGGACCTCCACAAAAAGAGCTAGCAGCAAAAATTCAAGCTTTGCTCACATAATTTTGAGGTTTTGCGCTTCCAAGGTTTGAGGGAAGGAGAAGGCATGAGAAAACCAGGTCCACAATGATAGCACATCCGGGATTTAAGCTTCAGTTTAGGGCTTTACGGATCAGGTCAATTCTGTGATAGACTCCAGATCCAGTGTCGGGATCGCCTCAATCTGAGGCGAGATGATTGGCGGGAGAAGTTGGATCGAGTGCCAAGCAAAGTTCGATCGCTGGAAGCGACGTGGATGGTTTTTCGTTGTTTTTCGTTGTTTTTGGGCCAGTTTTCTCCAGTCTTTCATCACAGAAATCAGATGAAATCATGCCACAAGCTGGGCTTTGATTCCCTGCTGAAATTGGCCAAAAGTGATGACCTCAGCTTGGATCAGCCACATGCTGTGCAGGTCGCCGAACAACAAACGAGCTACAACTAGCTGGCAAATGGTACAGTAGACCAATAGTTCACTGGTCAATTCACTGGCAAAAGGATGTTCATCTCCCAATTCTAATGATATGTTCAGTAGCGACCCATCCCCACATTGTGTTTCTGTTCCTATCCCGAGAGGAGAACTGGAAGCGACCAAGGTGCTACCTGATGTTGAGCACTCCAGCATGGCAAGGGAGGAGAAATTGCGTTGACTTGCATGGAAGTGGTTGGATGGCCGTACCCCAAATATGAGCAGTTTCAAAAAACCAAACAGGTTGATGATATTTGATGGTTATAGGGGTTGCTGTATATAATTAAATTAATTAAGTTACAGTATATTGCCCAGAAATAATATTGTGGATCATCGTTATGGTAATCCCTTTTGCCCAAGCCTGTCCACAGGATTCCTTGATGCAGTACGAGCGCATTAAGCACAGCACAGAGGCTGGAAAATAATTAAAGTGGCTCGGATAGGGTACAGAAGCGGTGGAACCACAAAATTGGAAATAATCTTAAGCCATAAGCATCCATAAGCGCATTTCTTGTTCTTTTTCCCCAACAGCAAAACTTTGCTATGGGGTCTTTAGCCCAGATTAGCTCCGGTGCGATCCGGTGCAGCTTCAACACCAGGTTCCGGACAAGGTTCCGGAGGGTTCTGGTGCAGGTTCCGGAGGGTTCCGGTACCTGCTGAGACTCCAGCGGTTCCGGAGGGTTCCGGTGCAGATACCTTGTGAGGTTCCGGAAGTTTCCGGTGCAGGTACTCGGTGAGGTTCCGGAGGGTTACGGTGCAGATTCTTGGTTTGGTTCTAGAGGGTTTTCGTGCAGGTACCTGGTGAGGTTCCGGAAGTTTCCGGTGCAGCTACCTGATGAGGTTCCGGAGGGTCTAGGTGAAGATGCGTGGTGAGGTTCCGCAGGGTTCCGGGGCAGATGCCTTGTGAGGTTCCGGAAGGTTCCGGTGCAGAGACCTTGTGAGGTTCGGGAGGGTTCCGGTGCAGATACCTTGTGAGGTTCCGGAGGGTTCTGGTGCAGGTGCTTTGTGAAATTCCAAAGGGTTCCAATGTTTTTTTTTAATGGCATAAGCACTTAATTATACGTGTATATATATATATAATATATTTATGGCATAAGTGATCATAAGTGCTTGATTTTTATGGCATAAGCACTTTTTATGGCAAAAACGCAGAAGCTTTTAAGCTGTTGGGGATAGCACCTGAGTTTATTTGTTTCTGTCAAAGCGGTATAGATGTTGATCACGGAGTCTCCTACGTTTGTGGTGCCCCTGCGCTGAAGTTCCACTTGAGGTTCAGGAGTCACGCATGAATGGCCACATCCCCCATTTCAAGAGCAGCACATTCACATCTAATTTATTCCACATCATTGAATTCCTACATCATCTATCACAGTATCAAATATAGTACCGATATTCACAGATAATCAGATAATCATATCGAGCACATATTGAGCTCGTACATTGCACAGTCATCTTTACAGCGGCCAGATCTTCGAAGAAGTCCGGAGCAGTTTGGAGCGGCAGTTGGTTCCTACCTTGGACAGGGACAGGTGATGGGCTGATGCCGCAAGGTCCTGCAAAGGGCGAGATGATTGAGATAGCGGGTCAAGATTTTGACGCCCAAGGATGTGCAGAATGAATGTGCAGAATGGGCTGGTCATGTATGAGCTATATAGATACTTGTGATATGTTTGTATTCCCTAGCAAGGGTTTCCGCGGTAGCCCTTCACACTGGTGTTTTCTGCTAGTGCCCAGGCCCAAGCAAAGATGGAAATCCAAAGACTGGTTGCAGCTATGCAGAGGCTTCACTGGAGATGTCATGATTTTGTCCACTGGAGAAGATGCAAACTAAGAACCTGTCTGACATTTTCGGATCCACTCAGCTAGTGAGTTTCAGGATGTTTCGGGCATACATTTTGAGATGAACTTTGGTTGTTTGGCCGGGTTTTTTAAAGATTGGGACGAACTTCCAATGATGCCGCAGGCACACGGTTGATGCCAGCACTCAAGCGCAATCCCCAGAAGCAGATCCCTTCGTTAACGATGCTCCATTCACCCAATTTTACCATAAGGGTTTGAAAAAAGAACATTATGTAAAAAAACAACTCAAACCATAGCCCAACTTGAAGATTTGATTTTATAAATGGATCTAGATTAAAGTTCATATAGAAACCATGATTTTCCCATGTATAATTGTGTTTGGAACCAACCTCTATCCCGACAGCATTTTCCTGCTTGCCGAGGTCATGCTCGCGGTGGGTGATGGCCAGGTTCAAACAGATCTTTCCTATCAGTGCCCCCAGGGGCCCCTGGGTGTCATGTTTTTTTTTGCTGATTTGGACTGGGGCATTCTATGGATCTGATTTTCAAAAAAAAGGGCCTTTTAAAAAGGCATTCTATCCTATGATCATTTACTTTCTGAGTGATTTTGGAAACCCAGGTGAAAAGAATCCAGGAGAATTTCCTCAAACCTTCAAATTCCTAAAATCGCTTAAGACATCGCGAAGACAACTTAAAGAATCATCCAGGGGGAACTTCCCTACAAACTTCGGGGAAGTTCACTGAGAAGCTGCGGGTAATTTTCTTTAACAAACATACTAAATATCCTAGAAATTCTACTGGGAGGTTCCTTCCCCAAAAAAATCACTGAGTCAAGTTCCCTGCACTTGTCCTTGGGGAACAATCGCTGAGAACTTTCCAAAAGAAATGAGAACGCCCGTGAAAGTGATCATGAATCTTGGGACCGTCCATAGGCTTGATGGCCATGTGTTAGGTACCTGGAGTGTCAGGCTCAGATTGTCGCGTCCGAAATCATGTTGTGCCGGTGTCACTTGTTTCCTTCTGCCTAACGTCAGCCACAGATTAATTAATTAATAAATATATATATATATAAAACTTTGGTTGATAAATTGGGAGGAGGACCACCCAAATTCATATATTTAATATCAATCTATGGCAATCTATGGCACCCTGGTTCCCCCATTGGTGGCATTCTGCTGCTCAAAAATGGTACCTGGTACCCCATTTCAACCAAGGCAGGCTGATCACTTGCAGGGCGACCGGTGGCGTCGTGACAGGCGGGCGACCGTTTGAGTCACTGTAATGATTTGGATTTACATAAGATTACAGAAGATGGATTTAGAATGATCTAGATAGATTATCTTGATGGATTCAAATGAATAGTACACACAGCGGTTTAGA